ACACTTGAAAAATCGCTATAATAATATTTGAGGCGAATCAGTAAGGACAAGGAAAAGAAAGAAAGAAAAGTAGAATAAGAATTGAGACAAGTAAAAACCACGTTCGGTAAAAATATATGCGAGAATAACGTATAAGGGGAAGGAAAATGAAGAAGAAAATATCATTAGAATAAAGAAAGAAAAAAAAGCTAAAAAAAAAAAACAATTTTTGAAAAAGAATGATGTAAGACAAGTGTGTATAGGATTTGTTAAGAAAATACCCGAAATGAATAAGGAATAATAACTAAAAAGAAAAAAAGGAAAGAAAAAATAAACTTTTTGGAAAAGAATATGAAGAAAAGAGACGGGTGAATATAGTTTCGTTAGAGAAATATACGAGAAAAATAAAAATTCTTAAGTAAAATGAATGAAAAAAAGAATGAAAGAATGTCTAGCAAAAGCAAAGAAATAATGAACGAAAGGGAGAAAGAAAGAAAGAAAAGCAAGAATGTCTAGCAAAAGCAAAGAAATAATGAACGAAAGGAGAAAGAAAGAAAGAAAAGCAAGAATGTCTAGCAAAAAGCAAAGAAATAATGAACGAAAGGGAGAAAGAAAGAAAGAAAAGCAAGAATGTCTAGCAAAAGCAAAGAAATAATGAACGAAAGGAGAAAGAAAGAAAGAAAAGCAAGAATGTCTAGCAAAAGCAAAGAAATAATGAACGAAAGGGAGAAAGAAAGAAAGAAAAGCAAGAATGTCTAGCAAAAGCAAAGAAATAATGAACGAAAGGGAGAAAGAAAAGAAAGAAAAGCAAGAATGTCTAGCAAAAGCAAAGAAATAATGAACGAAAGGGAGAAAGAAAGAAAGAAAAGAAATGTCTAGCAAAAGCAAAGAAAAATGAACGAAAGGGAGAAAGAAAGAAAGAAAAGCAAGAATGTCTAGCAAAAGCAAAGAAATAATGAACGAAAGGGAGAAAGAAAGAAAGAAAAGCAAGAATGTCTAGCAAAAGCAAAGAAATAATGAACGAAAGGGAGAAAGAAAGAAAGAAAAGCAAGAAATGTCTAGCAAAAGCAAAGAAATAATGAACGAAAGGGAGAAAGAAAGAAAGAAAAGCAAGAATGTCTAGCAAAAGCAAAGAAATAATGAACGAAAGGGAGAAAGAAAGAAAGAAAAGCAAGAATGTCTAGCAAAAAGCAAAGAAATAATGAACGAAAGGGAGAAAGAAAGAAAAAAAAAGCAAGAATGTCTAGCAAAAGCAAAGAAATAATGAACGAAAGGGAGAAAGAAAGAAAGAAAAGCAAGAATGTCTAGCAAAAGCAAAGAAATAATGAACGAAAGGGAGAAAGAAAGAAAGAAAAGCAAGAATGTCTAGCAAAAGCAAAGAAATAATGAACGAAAGGGAGAAAGAAAGAAAGAAAAGAAGAATGTCTAGCAAAAGCAAAGAAATAATGAACGAAAGGGAGAAAGAAAGAAAGAAAAGCAAGAATGTCTAGCAAAAGCAAAGAAATAATGAACGAAAGGGAAAGAAAGAAAGAAAAGCAAGAATGTCTAGCAAAAGCAAAGAAATAATGAACGAAAGGGAGAAAGAAAGAAAAAAAAGCAAGAATGTCTAGCAAAAAGCAAAGAAATAATGAACGAAAGGGAGAAAGAAAGAAAGAAAAGCAAGAATGTCTAGCAAAAGCAAAGAAATAATGAACGAAAGGGAGAAAGAAAGAAAGAAAAGCAAGAATGTCTAGCAAAAAGCAAAGAAATAATGAACGAAAGGGAGAAAGAAAGAAAGAAAAAAAGCAAGAATGTCTAGCAAAAGCAAAGAAATAATGAACGAAAGGGAGAAAGAAAGAAAAAAAAAAAGCAAGAATGTCTAGCAAAAAGCAAAGAAATAATGAACGAAAGGGAGAAAGAAAGAAAGAAAAGCAAGAATGTCTAGCAAAAGCAAAGAAATAATGAACGAAAGGGAAAAGAAAGAAAGAAAAGCAAGAATGTCTAGCAAAAGCAAAGAAATAATGAACGAAAGGAGAAAGAAAGAAAGAAAAGCAAGAATGTCTAGCAAAAGCAAAGAAATAATGAACGAAAGGGAGAAAGAAAGAAAGAAAAGCAAGAATGTCTAGCAAAAGCAAAGAAATAATGAACGAAAGGGAGAAAGAAAGAAAGAAAAAAAAAAAGCAAGAATGTCTAGCAAAAAGCAAAAGAAATAATGAACGAAAGGGAGAAAGAAAGAAAAAAAGCAAGAATGTCTAGCAAAAAGCAAAGAAATAATGAACGAAAGGGAGAAAGAAAGAAAGAAAAAGAAGAATGTCTAGCAAAAGCAAAGAAATAATGAACGAAAGGGAGAAAGAAAAGAAAGAAAAGCAAGAATGTCTAGCAAAAGCAAAGAAATAATGAACGAAAAGGGAGAAAGAAAGAAAGAAAAGCAAGAATGTCTAGCAAAAGCAAAGAAATAATGAACGAAAGGGAGAAAGAAAGAAACAAAAGCAAGAATGTCTAGCAAAAAGCAAAGAAATAATGAACGAAAGGGAGAAAGAAAGAAACAAAAAGCAAGAATGTCTAGCAAAAAGCAAAAGAAATAATGAACGAAAGGGAGAAAGAAAGAAAGAAAAGCAAGAATGTCTAGCAAAAGCAAAGAAATAATGAACGAAAGGGAGAAAGAAAGAAAGAAAAGCAAGAATGTCTAGCAAAAGCAAAGAAATAATGAACGAAAGGGAGAAAGAAAGAAAGAAAAGCAAGAATGTCTAGCAAAAGCAAAGAAATAATGAACGAAAGGGAGAAAGAAAGAAAGAAAAAGCAAGAATGTCTAGCAAAAGCAAAGAAATAATGAACGAAAGGGAGAAAGAAAGAAAGAAAAGCAAGAATGTCTAGCAAAAAGCAAAGAAATAATGAACGAAAGGGAGAAAAGAAAGAAAGAAAAGCAAGAATGTCTAGCAAAAAGCAAAGAAATAATGAACGAAAGGGAGAAAGAAAGAAAGAAAAAGCAAGAATGTCTAGCAAAAAGCAAAGAAATAATGAACGAAAGGGAGAAAGAAAGAAAGAAAAGCAAGAATGTCTAGCAAAAGCAAAGAAATAATGAACGAAAGGGAGAAAGAAAGAAAGAAAAGCAAGAATGTCTAGCAAAAGCAAAGAAATAATGAACGAAAGGGAGAAAGAAAGAAAAAAAGCAAGAATGTCTAGCAAAAGCAAAGAAATAATGAACGAAAGGGAGAAAGAAAGAAAGAAAAGCAAGAATGTCTAGCAAAAGCAAAGAAATAATGAACGAAAGGGAGAAAGAAAGAAAGAAAAGCAAGAATGTCTAGCAAAAGCAAAGAAATAATGAACGAAAGGGAGAAAGAAAGAAAGAAAAGCAAGAATGTCTAGCAAAAAGCAAAGAAATAATGAACGAAAGGGAGAAAGAAAGAAAGAAAAGCAAGAATGTCTAGCAAAAGCAAAGAAATAATGAACGAAAGGGAGAAAGAAAGAAAGAAAAGCAAGAATGTCTAGCAAAAGCAAAGAAATAATGAACGAAAGGGAGAAAGAAAGAAAGAAAAGCAAGAATGTCTAGCAAAAGCAAAGAAATAATGAACGAAAGGGAGAAAGAAAGAAACAAAAGCAAGAATGTCTAGCAAAAGCAAAAGAAATAATGAACGAAAGGGAGAAAGAAAGAAAAGCAAGAATGTCTAGCAAAAAAGCAAAGAAATAATGAACGAAAGGAGAAAGAAAGAAAGAAAAGCAAGAATGTCTAGCAAAAGCAAAGAAATAATGAACGAAAGGGAGAAAGAAAGAAACAAAAGCAAGAATGTCTAGCAAAAGCAAAGAAATAATGAACGAAAGGGAGAAAGAAAGAAACAAAAGCAAGAATGTCTAGCAAAAGCAAAGAAATAATGAACGAAAGGGAGAAAGAAACAAAAAGAAAGAAATAAACAAACAAAAGAAAGAAATGCAGGATCAAATGTTATATTAAAAAAGAGACAAATGGATATAGAATTCGGTAAAAAAAATACAAAAAAGAAGAAACGACTAGGAAAAGAGAAAGAAATAAAGAAAGAAAGGAAGAAAGAAAAGCAATATTTGAAAAAAGGACATAAAAAGAGAACAAGTGCATATAGTGTTCGTTAGAAAACAAAATACCCGAAAAAAATAAAGTCTTTCCCGAGAAAAATAAGAATTATCGATAAGGAAGGTGAAAAGATGATGAAGAGAAGAAAAACAAGAACGAATATAAATAAGAAAACATAGCTGAGAGATGCACATATTCCTGTTTTGGTTGAAATATCTTAACTAGAAAAAAAAAAAACGAAATTTAAGTGAGTGATTGCCTCCGTAAAATACAGCCCCTAAAACACAATCCCTAATTTCACGCACGAACCTTTTAAGTGTTTCCCAGATATTCGACCTTCACATTGCCATCTGCAAGCATCTGCTCCTCCCATTGAGTGAATCTATTTACCTCTTCTAAAGCACGTTCCTTGATGCTCAAACTACTTTGCTTGTTTGGCTAAATAGAAGGTTCAATTAAAGACATTCCAGCCTCTCCTGCCAAATTCTGACAATGAATTTTACTGAGTAGTCGAAAAACATGGTCTGCTTTTGTTGTTAGAGGCCGTAAGACTATTTAGTCTGAACTATTTTTTTTAAATCATTTCTAATTATTTCATAGCCACTCTCAAATCAGCCTGTATTAAGCTATCGAATTTTTTCTTCATTCATTCTAATTAAGAAACATTTTCAGCATAAAATCCTTTCGTTTTAAAGAATTTAAAAAGTCGGCTAAAACACTAAAATAAAATTATTTTAGTGGTTTAGTCGAATTTTCAATGGAGAAGTTTCTGTGAATGATCGAATCTGACAAAAGTGGTTTGTGCAGTTTTGTTCCAAAGATTTATCGCGGAACAATACTCCGTGGTCGAGTAAAACCAATTAAACTTGATAATAATCAAATGTAAACATTATTTGTGAATAATCGTCGTTATAGAATGCGGAAAACAGACAATAAAATGAAAATATTCAAATCAAGATCTGAAAATCATTTGTGCTAACTTGATTATATTAGAGACTTACGGCCATACCACGTTGAAACACCAGTTCTTGTACGATCACCGAAGGTAAGCAACGTTGAGCCTGATCAGTATCTAGATGCGTGACCGCTTGGGAATACCAGTTACTGTAAGTTGGGATGTACGGGTGGGGTAATGGATAAGGGCTTACAATTGGAAATCGAAGAGGTTATGTTAGTCCCTTTTATGTGTGTTTCCACATATTAAGCAACCTCCCACCCAATTGCCTGGATTTCGGTATGATTTTCTAAAACAAATTTTAACGGTCGATGAAAATAAGGTGCTTTGAGCAGCGTGAAAGGATGACAGAAGACATTGAAACAAGACTAAAATTATGTTCAATATGATTAAAGTCGAAATTGCTTTTTAAATTCTCTCGTTTTTTTTTAATGAAATCAAGCAAACATTTAAGCCATTGGCTATAATTTCACAAAGAATATCGCGAAAATAAAACGAGAAATAAGAAAAAAAGTATGAAAATCATTTGTTATTCGGGTTTCTTGTACTCAGATATGTCTTCTGTTCAAGACATTCCATAATTTGAAGCTTCAATAAACGTTTATATCCTAACACTAAGGGCTTATAGATTAATGGCAGACTCAATCTTGAATAGAATTATTATTATTATTATTATTATTATTATTATTATTATTATTATTATTTGTGGTATCATCTGATTTAAAGTACCTAAATACGAATTTCCCTCTGAGTAAAAATGGCACCGTAGGAGAGTTAGCAATGCATATTTGAGACGTTTTGTTTCGATGGAGAGGGTTTTGCGGATGATATGTGCAGTTCTTCACAATGTAACCTTTTGTAGCTGATGGGTCCAGGGATTTTACCCACATGATTTTCGGCACCCTTCTTTATCATACCCAATGCCCCTATTACAACAGGCATAAATATAGTTTGAAGTTTCCACATTTTTGTTACTTCGATTTGGAGCTCCTTATTATTTGACAGTTTCTAAAATTCTATTTTTTTAGAAACATTGGAATCCTGGGGGGAAAGTCATTTTAATTAGTTGGCAGGTTCTTTTTTGTAAAATCTTTTATGACTATGTTTGGTCTACTTGCATAAATTCCCCTGTCTGTGAGAATTGGGAAATTCCACATTATAGTCACTCCATCACCATTTGTGACATCATTCGAATGGTGTTTGTACCATGTATCTAAGACTCCAATATCATAGTTCGAATAGACATACCAATGAATATATTTTCGTAGCCTGTCATGCCTAATAATGTATTCTGTCTCATCTCAGTAAAGACTGGACATCCTGATACTCTGTGGTCAAACGTTGTATGAAATGTATGGTATATTATTATTATTATTATTATTATTATTTGTGGTAATCATCTGATTTTAAGTACCTAAATACCAATTCCTCTTTGAGTAAAAATGGCACCGTAGAAGGGTTATCTATGCATATTTGGGATGTTTCTTTTAGATGGACACGGTTTTGCGGATGATATGTGCAGTTCCGCACAGTGTAATCTTTTGTAGCTGTGAGATGCTGGTGTGTCCAGGAATTTTACCCACATGATTTTCGGCATCCTTCTTTATCATACCTAATGCCCCTATTACAACAGGGATAAATATAGTTTGAAGTTTCCACATTTTCGTTACTTCGATTTGCAGCTCCTTATTATTTGACAGTTTTTAAAATTCTATTTTTAGAAACCTAGTAACTTGCTTCTATTATCCACCTGGTGTTAATTATTTATTCTCTTAGCACGGAATATAACAAAATTATATCAATTTGTTGGCAGATTCCTTTTTTTGAAATCTTTTATTACTATATGTAGTCTATTTGTGTCAATTTTGCTGTCGTGAGGATTGAAAAATTTCATCACCATTTTAGACATCATACTAGTTATGCTTGTACGATGTATCCGGGACTTTAATACCATAATTCAAACAGACATACGAATTAATATATTGTCCTAGCATGTCAGTGTGTAAATATAACACAATGAGTCCCCGCTCGACTGACTTAGGACACACAAGTGGATTGTATATGATTCTGTCTGGGTCTTGCTTTTATGATTAAAGATTGTGTCACCCATAAAATAGAGATGTGCGTGTTTCAAAGCAGCCGCCCGCTTTTTTACACTATTGTTCACCCTAGACCTCATAACCACACAATATAGACAGTTACTGAATGGAGTTGTTTTATCGACGTAATAATTTTAAATTATGCCGATATGTAGGATAGATAACGGTTATTAACGTTGTACAGAAGTAGAGAAAAGTATATAAATCTTATAAATAAATAAATACTTCCGGGATCAAGTGACACTCGATAGGACGTTAGCTGATTTCCGCCATGGTCTTGTACAGTTATGCCGCATTCTTGATTAGGTTAAGCAACAAGCCGTCTTTCACGATGCAGAGTCGGGGATAGTTTCAAAGTCAGAGTAATAGTTAATGTGATGCGAATCGATGAGAATCACAGTCGGAGACTTAGACACAATTAGAGTAAGAAGAGATGTGGGGAGACCGAATTCTCGTTGGCCGAAGAGAAGATCTTGCTCATTAATCTGTCGTTGGCACAGAGACAGTGCTAGATGGTCATAAATAAAGAATTCACTCTATGGAAAACGGGGATCGCGCATTCTTTTCTTGCCATGGCGTTATTTAACCTTCCGTTCCCATTGGAACATACACCGGGCTTTTTCTCTGTGCATCTCGCAAACAGGAACTGAAACGCAGCCTTGAGTAAAGCTATCTAGTCGGTGTAAAAATTGTCTAAAAGACACGGGCGTACTGGGTGTAGCAGCAAAATTGTTAAAAGTGTAAAAGCAACATTGTCACATTGTTAGATTAAGCTTTCAAACGTTGTATCTTAGAAATGATTAAAGATATCTTACTGGAATTCTCCGAAACACTATAACACTATTGGATTCTAGTTTGAGCAATAAGAATGTATAATTACTCTCCAAGCTTAACAGAAGAATCATGATGAAATCGATAATAAATGAAAATGACATTTTCATCATTAATTAATCATAGCTAAGGATCAGAAGCTCATGAAGGATTGAAATAAACTTCAAACATAATATATATATATATATATATATATATATATATATATATAAATTTCATGTTTATACATTCTTTTATAGATACAAATATTTAAATAAATGCTCTGTTTATATAATAAACAGTTTAAACAACATTTAAATGTCCGAGAAAAATTTTCATAAAAATAATTGTCGGATTTTGTCGATTTCATAACGTGTGATGTCATTTGTTTACAATTGTTTCTATGAAAATGTCTCGGATATTCAGGCCGGTAAATGTTGTTTAATACTGTTTATTATAAACAGAGCATTTACTTAAATATTTGTATCTATAAAAAGAATGTATAAACATAAAAATGTCTTAAAATAATTGTCGGACTTATCCATTTATATATATATATATATATATATATATATATATATATATATATATATATTCAGGGATAATTTTCAACTTATTACAAGATGACCTTCGCCCTCTTTAACCTAACTTTCTGTCCTGGAGTAACAAGGTGCCTCATACGTTTCACGTACGATTTCATTTTCAAATCTTTTTTCACTACTCTTTGTACTATCATAGCTGAAACTCTTCTCTCACGTGCCAAACGTCTTATGAATTGAGTTAGATCTTTTCTAATTGTCTCTTTAACACTAAGTTAAAATGATGATCCTTCTTCCTGTTGTGACCTCCTGATTTAGATTTCCTCTCTACTGTTCCTTCTATTTTAAACTTATTCACCGTTCTCTTGATGGTTCTTGAATGGACTTTGAAGATGGAAGCAGGAGTATGAATGTTAGTACCATTACTGAAAGCCTGAATGATCTTTTTCTTCTCACCATTGTCAGTTGGGAAGACAGTGATTCTGACGCAAAACAATTTTCACCTGCCCTCTTTTTAGCTGAATAACTCAAAGAGTGTTTCCGTTATTCTTACGAAAAATGGTGACAAGATGGCTAAACGTCTTATCCGAAAGCCTAGAAGAAATAAACTCAAATAGTTTAGTGGATTTTTAGATATTAAACATTTTGTAGGATAGATAAATTATACTGTTACACAATTTGGACAATTTTGCTGTTACAAACGGTATGCCCACACAAAGGATAAATAGTGAAATAGAATATTAAGATGCTGACGAAAATAATATATCTTTTGTTATGCTTGTATATTTGTCTATATATATATATATATATATATATATATATATATATATATATATATATATATATATATATATAATTCATCGCTAAAAACGCTGGAAAAATGCTCGGCTTCTTTTACCGCTCCAGAAAGTATTTGATCTCCACCTGCGATCCTGTCTTTATTAAATCAAAAATGGTGTATTGCTGGACAGAAGCCTCCAAATCCTCTCTTTCCAGCATCGACAGAAATCAAAATCTTTCACGCGACCTTGTCGGTAATTAATTCTTTTCCACCTTAAAATCCCTTTCCCACAGACACAAAGCGGCAAGCTTATCGTTACTCTATCGCTATTATCATGAAAAATGTTCAGACGTGCCACATTTCCTAGTCTAACCAGTTCAGATCTTTACAGTTAAGATCCGCCATACTGTGACCACAGAAGTGAGCCATCTTCATTCCTTTCTTATTCCACTGGTACGAAAGAAGTTCTATTCTGATAACTTCTTCCTCTGAAACAGACTGTCGAGCGAATGCTTCCCCCGATCATTTCAATCTTAACCTCTCCAAGTATTGGGTCAACCGTTATATATCCTACATATCCTCATTATCTGCAGTTGCTACGTCCATCTTTTCTCGAATTTCTCGCTCATGGAACTCCCTTCCGGCTTCTTGCGTTCCAGTCAAGTTTTAATCTTCAAAAGTTTAAATGCAATGTTAATCGTTATCTACTGTCTTCTTGATTCCTGTTCTTTTATTGTCCTCGTTCTTTAATAATATTTTTTTCTAATATCATGCCGAGCCCATTAATTCCTTGCATCTTAGTGGCTTTATTGCCTTACTTTGAGCGAAATGATTAAAAATAGGAAAATCTATGTTTTAAAATAAATCTTTTCGTTTTTAATTCTTATTTAAAGCTATAAAAACCAGAAAGAGCACACAAGATACAATAAAATTAAATATATATATATATATATATATATATATATATTCATTGATACATATTCATTTTATTCTGAGTACTTTCGACATTAGCACAATCATCAAACCCTGATGATGACATATTGCTAAGAATAAATATTAAAAATAAGTAGAGAAAACTTAGGAATTTGTATCGATGATAACTTTCTATCTTCGTTTAATAAGGATATTAAGAAACTTGTCCGTAAATATGAGAGGATCCTATTAAGAATAAAGAGATAAAACTTGTCAAAATTATTTAATGAGACATGTTGTAATGAAAATATGTTGCAAAAATATGCGCGCGCGCGAGAGAGAGAGATTGGAGAGATTCCACGCCGGTATTTGGTCTGCCGAAATTGCCTATTCCCCATATGAGGTAAAAGGATTTGTTTCATTATTAATTATATATATATATATATATATATATATATATATATATATATATATATATAAATGAGGTGAAAAGCTGACGGTACTAATGATGGGGTGTGCGCGTAGTGTAGCGGTTAACGATAGGTCTGGCGAGCCAGGTTCAAATTCGGGCCGAATCAAATATTAAGAAACAGGAAAACTGAATTGCGATGTAATATCAGTCCTCCTATATAGCAGCAAATGCTGGACAATTTTCTTGTGTTTCCTTAATTCCTGTTCTTTTATTTCCTTAGTGGCTTTATTGCCTTGCTTTGGGTGAAATGATTCAAAAATTCCTTGGGTGGTATTGGGTAATCAACGACACAAGAAAATAAAAATAAAGCAAACGACTACACGTGTTAAATTATTCTGTACCCAACTCCGAAAATATGTGGGTAACACTGTGACATCTTGGCACCCGTCTTTTGAGCACTTCTGGCAACAGTCGTTGAAGACTTGATTAAATATTGACATTTCTCATCAAACCTAATGAAATTTTAGATAATTACATCAGTTGTAATCCTCGGTGCACACTACAAAAACATCAAGATTCACATTGTGTGGATTTATTGTTACTGTTATTTTCCCGACAAGGACGTCTTTTTGAGTAAAGAGCATATTCCTTCAAGATACAAGTGACCATAGATTATTTTTTTCTTTTCTCAGATCATAGCAGGAAGAACACATATATTTCTTGTGACTCTCTCTCTCTCTCCCTCTCTCTCTCTCTGTGTTCCACTCTCACTTACTCTCTCTCTCTCTCTCTCTCTCATTCCGCTTCTTTCTCTCTACTTCTATCTCTACTTTCCTAGTCTCCCCGCCTCTTTACTTCTTTCACTCTCTATACTACTTTTCTCTCTCTCTCTCCACTTCTTTCTCTCTCTACTTCTTTCATTCTATCTAATTCTTTTCTCTCACTCTCCCCACTTCTTTCACTCTCTCTACATCTTTTTTCTCTTTCTCTCCACTTCTTTCTCTCTCTCTACTTCTTTCACTCTCTATACTTCTTATCTCTTTCTCTTCCCACTTCTTTCTCTCTCTCTCTCTCTCTACCTCTTTCACTCTCTATACTTCTTTTTTCTCTTTCTCGCCCCACTCCTTTCTCTCTCCCCACTTCTTTCTCTCTCTCTCTACTTCTTTCTCTCTCTCTACTTCTTTCACTCTCTTTAATTCTTTTTCTCTCTCTCCACTTCTTTCTCTCTCTCTACATCTTTCACTCTCTTTACTTCTTTTTTCTCTCTCTCCCCACTTCTTTCTCTCTCTTTCTCTCTCTCCACTTCTTTCTCTCTTTACTTCTTTCACTGTCAGTCTATTTATTTATCTCTATTTACACTATTTACATTGTTCGGGCTGTTTTCCTCATCTTTATTACCATATTCACAACGTTTCGGCCGTTGTACGTCCGGCCTTCTAGAGGAGATTGAAATTTCGAACTGAACCCTTTATTTCGCTCACCAGGGCAGATTTTTTCTAGTTCCACGTGTCATGCCTCTTCCGGGTGTCTCAGTTATCTCCCTTTAACTCAACTCTCCAAGTTTTTTGTTCACCACTGCAGTATCCAGGTATTGAAGGCAATAAAGATGAATACAACAATGTAAATAATTATAATACCTCATCTCAGAAATATAGAGAGGTACTTATCTCTTTCTACTTATTTCTTTCTTTTTCTTTCTTGTTTTTCCTTCTGCTTCTCCCTCTCTCTACTTCTTGCCTTTTCTTTATCTTTCATTCTCTATCTTTTTGAAACTTTCTCTCTCTCTCTCCACTTTTACACACACACACATTCTCGCCCCCACCTCCGCCAGCACTTTCACTCTGTCTCAGTCGACTCGAACTTTCCTACTGTCGCCTTCTAGAAAAGAAAAAGGCTGTTAAGTAAGTCGTCTAGCCATAAATCTTCCTTAGAGACCAATCACTTCCGGTTGACATTCGATAATCTCCGAGAATTCGAAAATTTGATTCATCACGTAAATGGAGGCGGTAAGAAGATGCCCATCGATTTTCGATTTCTACACACACACACACACACACACACACACACGCACACAGACACAAAGACACACACTGATACAGACACAAAGACGCACACAAACACGGACGCGCGCACACAAACAAATACACACACACAAACAGAAATGTGCACGCACAAGCACACACACAAACAAAAATACGCGCACACACACACACAAACAGAAATGCACATACACACAAGCATACATACAAGCATACACACACACACACACACAGGCACACATACACAAAGACACACACAAACACAGGAGCGCGCACACATACACAAACGAAACACACCCACACACACGAAACACACCCACACACACGAAACACATGCACACATACAGGCGGCTCACCCAAACACACGCAAACACACAAGCACACACAAACACGAAACACACACACGCACAAACACACACAAATAAACATACATACACACAGCCATTCGTGAGCGCCCCTTCCTCTTTCACAGCATCAAGAATCTCTTAATCATACTTCTTTGGCTTTCAGAAAAAAATAGGCGTGCATAGGTGTATATATATATATACAAAACAGTGTGTGTGTATGTGTGTGTGTGTGCTTATGTGTATGTGAGAGGGTGAAAGTAAAGCTTGAGTGAGAGGGAAAGAGAGACGCGAGTTGGAAAAAGTGCCAACAATTTTAGGAGAGTTTTTGAAAGACAAAAGAAACAGAGACTAGCTAAATATCCATAAAGAACTTGGAGAAAAGAGACCACAATATTCACTAGCACTGACTGCAAATGTGAAGACCATGAGCGTGCTTTACCGGAATAAGTACTGAACAATATATACGATTAGGTATCGGAATGTTCCCGGTTGAAGCTGAAAGCTAGTAGACGTTTGCTCCAGCAAATAATATATTTCATATATTATTTATATTTAATCACTGACCAAGTCTTTTAGCGAACGTACACAAATTTCGTATCAGTGCGATATAAGTTCAGGTTTTTAATGCGGATCTCCTGACAGATTCTATAATTGATTTCTGTTATCAGGAGACATCTGTTAGATTGTTGGGCGATTGTCTCCATGAATCATTTAACGAATTTTTCCAATTACACTAACTTTTGCTGAACGCTTATCTTCAACCGATACTCGACCGGCCTTGAAACGCTCGATCTGCTCAAAATACCTAATGAATCATCACGACTGTCTTGTGTATACATTTAATAAGCTTCACTAAAAATAATGCTGCCAGTAGGTCTCTCGATTTTGTCAGCCATCGTAAAGATCGGAGAATTGTTACATTGCAATTTTACAAGATTCTGCGTAATAATTGGACGCTAATAAATAGCACGAAACCTGTTTGCAAAGTGATTCAGTAGGTTAATTACCTAATATACGAGTGAGTATTAGGTGCACTTTTCTGCTAAATGCTACAGTCACATCCTGCATAGCACAGGAATTTCACAATGCAACGTCGCATATGAACTCTGCTTTAGGTAGATAGACATTTACAGACAAAGAAAGACAGATTTGTATTGATTGATTTGTTTTCTACGGCTTATCAACACTTTGCAGGTTATTTAAAGCCGGAAAATATTCTTAGATTGTAAGAATTATTTTTAAGGGCATGATAGTGATTTAGTTAATACGTTTTACTAATTAACCCATATGTAGGGGAGAAGAGGTTGTTTCACACATTTCCCAATGGTAATTTGCGCTTAAATAAATATAACGACGCTAACTGAAATTGAAACTCGTCCCTTCCATTTCCAATTTCGAGCCATTATCCAGTACCCCGCCCTCTTAGCGGTTACCCATCTACGTAGTGACCAAGGTCGACATTGTTTATCTTTGAGGATCGTACAATGTGGCTGTAGGCAGATAGATAGATAGATAGATAGATAGATAGATAGATTCGAATAGTCCTAAACAGACGAGAGATATTAACAGACTTAGATAGATATTAATAGATTTAGATGGATAGAAATACACTTAGATATTGATAGATACATAAGTAGATATGAATAGCCATAGATAGATAGATAGATAGATAGATAGATTAGACAAATGATGTTTGGGCATATACATATTACTAGACTTAGATGATAGATAGATAGATAGATAGATTAGACAAATGATGTTTGGGCATATACATATTACTAGACTTAGATGATAGATAGATAGATAGATAGATTAGACAAATGATGTTTGGGCATATACATATTACTAGACTTAGATGATAGATAGATAGATAGATTAGACAAATGATGTTTGGGCATATACATATTACTAGACTTAGATGATAGATAGATAGATAGATAGATTAGACAAATGATGTTTGGGCATATACATATTACTAGACTTAGATGATAGATAGATAGATATGAATAGACAAACAGTTCATAGATATGAATAGGCTTAGATATATGTGAGTAGAATTAGATAGATATGAAAAGACTTACATTGAGAGATATGAACAGACTTACATGATAGAAAGCTATAAATACACTTAGTCAGATGATAGATAGATATGAATAGACTTAGATAAACAGATCTGAATAAACCTAAACAGTAGAGATAGATAGAGAGAGAGAGAGAGATGAATAAACATAGACAGATGATAGATAAATAGATATTAATAGACAGATAGAGAGAGAGAGAGAGAGAGAGAGCGAGATGAATAAACCTAGACAGATGATAGATAAATAGATATTAATAGACTTAGATAGATAGATAGATAGATAGATGTGAATAGACCTAGACAGATTATAGACAGATATATAGATATAAATAGACTTAGATAGATAGATAGATAGATAATTACTAGACTTAGATGATAGATAATAGATACAATGACATATCTAGATAAATAAACTTATGTCTGTAGGTAAGTGTGAATAAATTCAGACAGATATGCATTGGCATATATATATATATATATATATATATATATATATATATGATTTAATCCCAAACCTGGTGAGAATGCTACTAGTACGAAGGGGCTTGCAAAGAGTGAAAGTGAGAGAAAAGATTAAGCATAGGGAGGGACTATGGAAAGGACAAAAGATGAGCGAGATTCAAGATAGAAGATGGCGATTGACGTTGCATTTAAACTTTTGGAAATTGTATTTATCAGGGAAGCAAGTAAACGGTAGAGAGTTCAACAGGCTGGAAGTGTGAAACAAGAAACTGTTGGAGTAGTAGAGAGAGAAAGAGAAAAGGAGAGAGAGGGAGGTTTACCGACCCGCACTCAAAGATTCGAGCCATCTTTGATATAATACAGTATCTGTCTATATTTCTGAGATGAGGTGTTTTGTACACTATTTACATTATTAGGACTATTGTCCTCATTTTTGTTGCCATATTTATCACGACCTTTCGACCGTTGTACGCTCCGGCCTTCTTCCGGTGGTTGGAATGTCGAACTGAAACCTTTATTTCGCTCGCTGGGGAAGACTGTTCTAGTTCCACGTGCCATGTCCAATAGATGTCACTTATCAGTTATCTCTTGTTAATTCCCCTCTCCAAGTTCTCCACCGCCTTAGCCACATGGCACAAGGATACATGGCACAGTGGATAAAAGCGTTAGTTAGATCCAATGAGAGGACCCAAATACCTGGTTAAGGCAGTGGAGAACTTGGAGAGGTGAATTAACAGGAGATAGCTGATAACTGACATCCATTAGACATGACACGTGGAACTAGAACAGTCTACCCCAGCGAGCGAAATAAAGAGTTCAGTTCGACATTCCAACCACTTGAAGAAGCTGTGATCCTAACAGGTGCTTGACCACCCGGATCAGAATTTGACCTTGGAACAACAGCCATTTTCCACGCTCCTCAAAACCTCTCGAACAGAGGCCTTCCTGTAGGACAAGCATCGTCATAGTACCAAAGAGGCTGAAAAATCGTTGATTCTTTGTATGTGTCGAGTAAGTAGTTGACAGCCTCCAACTATGATCTCTTACAAGAGCCAGTCTAAAAACAGGGCTGATGCCATATCTGAATTGAAGAGGACCAGACAGTTAAAAACCGGCTACACAGCCTTGTGACTGATGAATTATTCCCCGCCTTACAATCCCTATTCGCACAGACAAATGTCACGAGTGACTCGCTTACTCTATCGCTATATCCATGAGAAAATGTTCGGACGAGCTGCATTCCTCAGTGCCACCAGTTCTGACCTTCA